CGCTTCCTTGTTGGCTTCCTCCAGTAGATTCTGTGCTCTGAGAGGAAAGGAATATGGATGCCATCTAAAAAGTATTCAATAAATGTTGGAGACATTAAAAAGAAGTAAATGAATAAAATGAGATGCCATTTTTGAAATTTATCTTGTTTACTTATATTTTTAAAGAAAAATATGTGAGACGAGATGGGATGGGTACAGTCCTTGTGCTGCCTGGTACATTGGTGTTACGCTTCAGAATGGAAATCTTGTAAAAGGTAGCAAGAGCCTTAAACATTCATGCCTTTTGACCTAGTAATTTTACTTCTTGGAAACTGTCCTAAAGAAGTCATCTCTGCCAGAGAATGCAGAAGCTTTCATCTTACCTCTTCCTATGGCCACTGGTATTCCTTCCTAAGAAAAGTAGGCAGAAATCTAATTGGGCCTTGTCTTCTCGTTGTCTTCTGCTTCCTCTCTGTGCTGCTCAGTGAGTAAGTTATGCAAAGGGCACACTGCGTGGCTAGGCTGAGTGATCTTGTAATATTGTCACAAAAGCCTTTAAAAGAGGTCAGGGTGCTGGTGGTAAATTTGGGTGTGGGGGAAAGCAGAGGCCCTGAGCCAAAGGGTAGTACCCTCATCCAGTTTACCAGAGAAGCTTGCTTCGGGGTACCCAGCAGTAACCCAGCTAAAAGTGGTACTTTGAGTTCCCTTTTGGTAACTTCTCTTCTCCCATCCCTCTCTATGCCGTCCCTGCTGGACACACAGCTATCTCTTTCCTATGCGTGCGTTGGGGGGGGGGAGGGGGACGCATTTTTGTATTCCTGAGGTGGGTTTTTTATTTGTTTGTTTTTGTTGTTGTTGTTGTTGGGTTTTTTTTTAAGCTCAGTGCTTCCCTTCTTCACATCAGACACATACAGAAAATATTTTAGGACCAACAGGGATAACGGAAAGTTCTGAAATTCTTCATGCTCATTGTTTTTCCAGTGTAGGTCACAATCCATTAGTGAAAATCAATCAAGTGGACCGTGACTATGATTAAAAGAAATGGAGATAATAGAATACATTATTTATAGTTGAAAGAATTATATGAGTATGTATTTGTAACCTTGCGGTATGAAATGTACTCTTATGTGGGTCACTGTCAAACTTTGAAAGCTATTTGTTCTAGCCAAATACCACTTAATGATGCACAAGCTTTTCTTTTGTTGCGTCATTCTTAAATGGGGCAAGATTTATGAGCAGAAATTCAGGCTTAATACATTGCAAAATTTGAAGAACAAAACATTCAAGAGACTGACTAAATAAATCATGATGACCTATCATTTCAGATTATTTGCTGAAGTTAGTATTCTCTTCTTTCTTCTTTGTAGGGTTTGCTGAAAAGGTCCAAGGGTCAGCAGTAGCTTTCTTAGTTCTTATAGAGTCAGTGGGGCTGTAAGGAGTGACTGGTGTACCCTAATACACTGGTAATGGCACCAAGGGATCAGATTGGAGCCTTAGTTCTGTGACAGCCTTGGGCAGAGTAGTTAACTTCTTTTTATTTGTTTACTCATCTATAAAATGGAGCTAATAAAATGCATACCTATTGTAAAGTTGCCATGAGTAGGACATACTGTACTGCATTCAAAGTGCTCAGCTAGGGATCCCTGGGTGGCACAGCGGTTTGGCGCCTGCCTTTGGCCCGGGCGTGATCCCGGAGACCCGGGGTCGAATCCCACGTCGGGCTCCCGGTGCATGGAGCCTGCTTCTCCCTCTGCCTGTGTCTCTGCCTCTGTGTGTGTGTGTGTGACTATCATAAAAAAAAAAAAAAAAGTGCTCAGCTGGTTACTGGACTCCCAGTGAGTAGAACTACTTCGGGGCTGTTCTGCATTGAACGTTATTGAATCTCTGTCCGTGTGCCTTAGTTTCTCCTTCAGCTCACATTTCAGCTAATACTGGCTTCTTTGGGAGATATAAAAACTTCTGTAATTACTTCATCGGAAATTGAGACCATTAAAATCAGAAGATAATAAATGTGAAAAGTACTGTCCAATTTAGATGGTCCTAATTCCAGTAGCGGCAACAATAGGGAACTGATTGCAGTGCACACGAGCTGATTAATAACTCTGTGTCCAAAGGAGTAGATTCTGCAGTTGATTTTGATGGGAATAAATAAGTACTTTCCGTTCTCTAAAAGTGTGAAGCTCTTTCTACCCTAGGACCTTCACAGTCACTCCTTTTGCTTGAAGTACCCTTCTCTGTCCCCACACTTGTCCGTATGTGTAGTCCCCACTTACCCGCTGAACAATTCCGCTCTAGAAAAGCCTCCCCTGACCATCCAGTCTGAATAGCTTCCCAGCTAGTTTTTGTAAATCATTTTTAAAAATCATAACATTGATTTACTATTTGGTTCTCAATTTTGTTTTCTGTTTCACTCCTGACCAACTAGGGTGTAAAACTTGAGGAACAGGGGCCTTGCTCATGTTGTATATTTTTTCCCTGCACTTAGATCAGTGCCTAACAGAGTGAATACTTGTTGAATGTTTAAAGATAGCGTAAAGTGTGAGAAATTATCCATAATTGTACTTCTCAAAGGTACATAACAGTTGTTGACACCATGGTATATACTTTTCTAATTTTATTTTCTGTGTGTATGCTTACATGTTCACAAGTGTCTGTGATTACGCATTTATACTGTATTTCATTGAATCTAAAGATGAACATGGTTTAGTATATTTTATGTCTCTGAAATTGAGATGTCATATAATCAGAGGTATGCCGTGATGTAATTAGCAGCCTTTCTCATTTCCAGTGGCACATAAAATGAAGATGTGTCTTAAAGTCTGTAGCATCTTAGATTTGATGAAATGCGATATATATTTGAAACAAATGAGATTATGATGTTCCACTCTTTCCACGCCTAAATATCTTGACCATTTTCCCATATCACTATATTTAGATCTATCTCATTATTCACAGGTATCTAGCATATTATGGGTTATCATAAATTGTCCCACCAGTTCCTCATGGTAGACATTTGGAGCTTTTCCAGTTTTGTGTGTGTGTGTGTTGTAAACCGTGCTGTGTTGGACATCCTTGTGCACGTCTTCATACACTCAACTGGAATTTCCTTTGATAAAACACCTAGATCAGTGAGTACCCGTATCTTCCGTACTGTATAAGGGCGCCATTTCCCTATATCCTCAGTAGTACTGCGCCTGAGGAAAGTTTTAAAACTTTTATTAATCTGATAAGTGAAAAAATATCCTAATGTCGTATTATCATTTCTTGGGTTATGAGTGGGATTGAGCCTCTTTTTGTGTTTATGGACTGTTTTTATTTCTTCTTCCATGATGCACGGTGTGTAGGACAGTAAACCTTTAATTGGCTGGCATGTTTGGTGTAATTAGGAAAAGAGTCATCATAGTTTGGAACCCTGTATTATCATATAATTTCTTGGGAACAGCTTTCAGGGTAGAACCTACCCTTGTGGGGAGCAAAGGGGCTTTATAAGGACCCATGATTAGAGGAGACAAATTCAGGAATAATCAGAATCTTTATAGTGGAGGCCAGAAAAGGGTACAGTATCATCAGTTTGTGAGTTGAATACTGGAATTTAGACTATGCTGTTAGACTTTAAATGTTCCTCTTCTCTTTAATATGACTTAGTGGTGGTAGTATTAGGTTAGTAGGTCTGAAATAGGACACAACTCAAGGACTTGAATGAAGTCACTGTTGAATCTAATGATTAAATCTGTGACCATTTAAGAGTAGATTCATAGGAGTTTTTTACACAATGCCAAAACGTTGTCAACAATTTTTAACACCCTTGCTGTGGCGGGGGGTGGGGGGGTCAGTTTCAAAGGTAGATTGCAGATGGTCTTTTAGGTTCCACTGTAGCCTTTAAAGGAGACAGATTTCAATCCTTTGGTAAGAATGAAGCCAGAAGGTATATGGAATGTGAAGAGCACAGAGGAAGGTGTTTAGTCTAAAAGAATTTAAAAGAGGGTCACCTGGGGGGCTCAGTGGTTGAGCATCTGCCTTCGGCTCAGGGCGTGACCCCAGGGTCCTGGGATCAAGTCCCACATTGGGCTCCGCGCAGGGAGCCTGCTTCTCCCTCTGCCTGTGTCTCTGCCTCTCTCTGTGTCTCTCATGAATAAACAAAATCTTTAATAAGTAAATAAATACGTTTAAAGGAGACTCCTGGCTTTGATACACTCAACTGGAAGTGAGTTAGTCGATAACCTAAACTGAGTCCTAAAGGATCAAGAAGAGTTAACTGTTGAGTAGCAAGTAGTAAAGGATACGACAGCATGAGAGAAGGCATGTGTAGATGAAGTGGACTGTGAGGAGTAGAGTTTTCTTAGAACATAAAGTTTGAGCTGAAGAGTGACTTGATGAGTCTGGGAAGGTAAGCAAGAACCAGATAACGAACAGCCTAGTGTGCCATGCTTGAAAATCTGCATTTTGTAGGTCAAGGAGAGTTCTTTTGAATAATGACATGGTGAGATTTGCATTTGAGAAATCACTGCCTGAAGACTGATTTAGGGGGCAAGACCAAAGACATATTGGCATCAGTTCTGGTAATCCAGGTGAGAGGATTAAGGCTTTAGCTCATTGGGAATAGTTTACCAGAAAAAAAATCTTAATTTCTCTTAGTTTTTACAGAATTTTACCCTCTTCTTCAGAATCCCTCTGAGATTAAATTTCATGGAACTGAGATGATTATTTTGTAGAAATGACTTATATATTCATTGTCCAGTTGTTTATTCCTTTATGTCTGTAAGAAGTTTATGCTTTTATTAATATCTACTTAACTAGTATAGTCTGTATGGATTTTTGGACTAGTAAGATTTTTGATGATTATAAAAGCAGGACATGTTAACCCTTTTGGTATGCTCGGTGATTATCTTGGTAACCATTTGGGAGCATTTGCCTTTGAGTAAAAGTAAAGATTTGTTAGATTAAATTTAGGTTATATAATTTTTAACTTACATGAATTCATAACTTTTATGTGCTAATTTCTTTCTTTTTTTTTTTTAAAGGCTATCAGCAAAAGATGGTGGATCGCTTGGCAAACAGTGAAGCAAATACTAGACGTATAAATATAGTGGAAAACTGTTTTGGAGCAGCTGGTCAACCCTTGACTATACCTGGAAGGGTTCTTATTGGAGAAGGAGTATTGACTAAGTTGTGCAGAAAGAAGCCCAAAGCAAGGCAATTTTTCTTATTTAATGATATTCTTGTATATGGCAATATTGTCATCCAGAAGAAAAAATACAACAAACAACATATTATTCCCCTGGAAAATGTCACTATTGATTCCATCAAAGATGAGGGGGACTTGAGGAACGGATGGCTTATCAAGACACCAACTAAATCATTTGCAGTTTATGCTGCCACTGCCACTGAGAAATCCGAGTGGATGAATCACATAAATAAATGTGTTACTGATTTACTCTCCAAAAGTGGGAAGACACCCAGTAACGAACATGCTGCTGTCTGGGTTCCTGACTCTGAAGCAACCGTATGTATGCGTTGTCAGAAAGCAAAATTCACGCCCGTTAATCGTCGTCACCATTGCCGCAAATGTGGTTTTGTCGTCTGCGGGCCCTGCTCTGAAAAGAGGTTTCTTCTTCCAAGCCAGTCCTCTAAGCCTGTGCGGATTTGTGACTTCTGCTATGACCTGCTTTCTACGGGGGACATGGCCACGTGCCAGCCCGCCAGATCGGACTCTTACAGTCAGTCACTGAAGTCTCCTTTAAACGACGTATCTGATGATGATGATGATGATGATAGCAGTGACTAAGGACATATTTGGAAATATTTAATTGGGTGTGACTACCTGAGAAATCCGCTCTGGGGGGGAATGTAGAATTCTGAGCTTTCTCTCAGTTTTGCTCTAGCCATGAATTTGCCTGAGAAACTTTTAACCTATGTGCCTCAATATATTCTATAGAAAATAGGTCCTGTCATTGTGTCCTCACCCTCATCTCCACCCAGCTCCCCACTCTTCTCCAGGGATAGATTATTGCAAAGTATATCGGATAAATTTTTGGTTTCTTATTGTTTAATTTTAGAGTATTTTGTTGGAAGGTTGGGAAGAGATGTTTATTTAACAGATCATGTACTACATTGTTGTTTATTATATGTTCTGTTATATGGAAAAACTAAAAGCAAAAAATGATGGGAAAAGGAGGATAATGCAGTTAGCGAACATTATTAGCTTTTTTCCTAACCATCCTATCTAATGGTTAAGACACCAGTAACAAAAAAAAAAAAAAAGTGATTTGAAAATGCTTTGTTTGGCTTTTTCACATACCATGTGGTGCCTTATCATAATAGCACTGTTACATGAAATAAGCCCTTACCTTCTCACTTTTAGTTTTTGAAAATAACACTGGTGCTCTTTGAAGTGATAAAATGAGCATTTATGAATGGGTGTAATTAGAAAATACTTCTCATCTGCCAGCTACAAATAACTAAATTTAGAGCTTCTTCATTCTATATGAATAATTATTTTTCCATAAAATAGTTGCAATTATATTTTTATGTTTTATAGATTCCAAATTATAATTGTCAAATATATATTTTAAATCAATAGGTAGCTTTTCATTCTTAAGAATTTGGTTTGGAACTTATCAAATACAGAATTGTCACATGGCGTTAATTTCTACTTTTAGTAAAACATTTGTAAGTGTAAATTCATCTGCTTTAACGTTATTTCTAGAATGAAAAATCTTATAAAACCTTTGAAATTCAACAATCTCTTTAAGAAAATCCCATGATAGAGCACAGACCACTTAGGCTGAAGACTTGGAAGAAATAATGTGTAAGAATGATCAAGACAGACCAGTTAAGTTTGATGAGACTATATGTCAGTGGAAGAATTGCCTATTTCAGTGTCAAACTATCTTAAATTTGCAAATATAGTGTTATATTTTATAAAGTTTTGTAAAGTCCCAAACGATATTTCTATTTTTGTAAAACAATTGTATGTTTAATCTGTTTCTGATATCCTTTTGCAATCTGTAGAAATAGAGTAGAAATTGATCTTTCTAAATTGTAAACTTTATTGAGTCAGTCTAGATTGCTTTTGAGGATTGATAATTTTTCACTCTTTGCTTTTGAGGCAGCCATTTAGGTTGAAAGTATATTTATCATATAAAACTTGATGCATTTTGCACTATTCTCTCCGTTTGTATGCTGCAAATAATTACAGTCTTTCAAATATGAAAAAAAAAATCAGCCTAAGGTTTGTTTTAAATTCCAGACTTTTTGTTTTTAAACTTTTAAATCTGGGTGTATTGCAGATGTCACGAGTTTGAGTCAATCAATAATGGAGAATTTTGGGATTTGGTAAAGGCACTAACTTTATTATTAAATTGTGAAGGTATCTGAGATACATAGATTTCCCTGAAGGAAATGTGAAACAAAGACACAACAGTTTGTTTATTTGTTTTAATATCAGATGGACATTTGTTTCCAAGCAATATATACACATAAGTAATCAACATATCTCAAAACGACTACGAAACCCGAGAAGTGCTAATGGAGACTTGCTCGGTACATAGGAACCCAGCAAGCAAATTTAAGAACCAAGGGGAAATGTTCTGGGATGACATTTGCATTGTCAACCTCTGTTGACACTGTTTTTACAATAAAAAATATTTTACAACATAATTCTCTGTTCTGTGCATATTGTGACTTGAAGATTTGTTTCCCCTTTTTAAAGTAATGCGGATACTTTGCATATTTTGCCTCTTTCAATAGCTGTGAGGTGCCTTCCATGTGCCAGGCATTGTTCTGAGCACCAGGGGCAGGGCAGTAAACAAAATTTCCTTCCTCTTCATGGAATTTACATGCCGATAGAATCCAAGATATGTCATCTTCCAGAATGTGTTCTGTAATTTTTAAAGCTTTTCTAAATCTCAGTTACATTTAAACCTGAGATTATTTTGGTGCCTATTTTTCATGCCATTTCTCTTGAATGAAATATATTTGGTCTATATTGGACCTACTGTAGCACATTAACCAAAATTGGTGACTATTGATGTAGAGGAAGCAAGATTCTGTAGATAAGAAGGAAAAATACTAATACAGGAATTCCTGCCTTTGGGTCAAGTGCGTAAAATGTCCATAGTTAATATAAAGTCATTTATGTCTTTATTACCTTCATGCTGAAATTCTCACAAATAGGTAGTATTTGGTTGTATGCCCAGTGATTCTCCAGTACTTTAGCCACACACTCCGCTCTCAGAAACACTGATTTTGTTCTCAAATAAATAGAGCTCGTAGCTTTAAAGAGCATAGTAGCCACCGTTCCCGTGTCCACACGGATTAGACGTCGCACAGGCGGAATTTCACTGTGAAGTCTAGGATTAAAATACATGAAATTGTACTTTGACAGTAAATCCAAGGCTTTCTTTTAAAACTAAGATCAGTCAACACTTAGTTTATGTCCGGCTCTACAGATTTGGTGCTGGGCGTGCTAGACTCTGAAGGCACATTTCCCTAGAGGTCACCACCAATCGCACCCTCTTAAATAGCAAGTCAAAACCAATCTCAAGAGAACTGTGCCCCCGGCTCCCGGGTGACCCCCGGTGAGGGACTCGGCCTCTGCTCACCCGGCCTCGGGGATGGAGCCCGCGGAGAGGACAGCCGGTGGGGGGGACAGCTCGGGGGAACAGCTGTGGGGGGACATCCGGGGGGAGACAGCTCGGGGGGGGACAGCCGTGGGGGGACAGCTGTGGGGGAACAGCTCGGGGGGACAGCTGTGGGGGGACAGCCATGGGGGAACAGCTGTGGGGAGACAGCCGTGGGGGGACAGCTATGGGGGAACAGCTCGGGGAGACAGCTCGGGGGGGACAGCCATGGGGGGACAGCTGTGGGGGGACAGCTGGAGGGGACAGCCATGGGGGGACAGCTGTGGCGGGGACAGCCAGGGGAGACAGCTCGGGAGGGACAGCTCTGGGGGGACAGCTGGAGGGGACAGCCATGGGGGGACAGCTGTGGGGGGACAGCTCTGGGAGATAGCCGTGGGGGACAGCCGGAGGGGGACAGCTCGGGGGGGACAGCTGGGGGGACAGCCGCGGGGGCTGTGCCCTAGGTCATCGCAAAGGGACAGCACAGGGAGTCGGCCTCCAGCCCTGCTGACACCGTCCCGTGTCCGCGCTACTGGCACTGGCTCAGGTGAGGGCGGGCAGCCTGGCCAGCCGTCCCCAGGCGCGGCGGCAGGTCGTGTCCCCAGCCCTCAGGGCCCGTGCAGGCCCCGCCCGCCTCATTTCCCGCAGCTGCGATCCGCGCCCCCACGGGCCAAGGTGCGAGCGCGCTGGTCCCGGCGTGTCCGCGGCCCCCGAGCAGCCCCAGCAGGGAGGGCCATGGCCCCGCGGCCGGATGCTCGGATGCTCGGGCCACGCGGTGGCCCACTTCCCGCCACGAGAGCCTGCGTTGTGTGGACCCTGGCGACCGGTGTCTGTCCTCCGTGTGCTTCAAGCTTCGCCCGTGTCCCATCAGCAGGGGACTCCCGCCCGCTGCGGGGCCACCCCAGGAGGGGACGTGCTGCGCTGCACTGTCCACCCGTGGGCATCTGAGCCCTTTCCACTTCGGGGCCGTTAGGACCAAGGTTGCCGCGAACATTCGCATCCAAGCTTCGTGTAGACACGTTTTCCTTTGGGACGTGTGCCTTGAGGGGCTGCTGGGCCACGTCATCCTCTGCGTTTGACCTTTGGAGGAAAGGCTGAGCTTTTGCAGAAAGTGGCTGCACGGTCCGGAGGCCCTGGTACTCCCCACCCTCCCCACGCTGCCTCTGATGTGGCTCGTGGGCGCCCCCCGCTCCCCCCCCCGGGCCCTCCGAGCAGCTCAGGATGCTGAGGACGTCCTCGGGGGATGCCGGCCACCTGCATGTGGCCTCGGGAGAGGCGGCTGTCACGGTCCCTTGCTCACGGTTTCCGTCCTGAGCCAGGAGGCCACCCGGACGCTCCGCACACAGACCCCCACCGTGGCACGATCCGCAGGCCTTGGCTCCCGTCAACAGCCGGGGGACAGACAAGGGTGGTGCTTTGCGCGTCACTCCCTAAGTCCTAAGTCGAGGTCAGGAAGCTTTAGTCCAACGCTGAGCCCCGTGAGGCCTCGTGGTCTGGAGACGCAGCACGGATCCCGGGTGTCGCCTCCGGACGAGCCGAGGGGACCGTTCGCTGGTGACTCGGGTCACTCGGTAGCGACCCTGCGGGCAAGCGGGCAGCGGCGAGCGCAGCGGCCTCCTCTCCCAGGTCGGCAGCGCGGAACTGAGTTGCGGGGCGACTCCGGAAACACACATTGTCCCGAACACTGGGGACGCAGTTTGTCCTCACCCGGAGCTGCCGTAGCACACTCGGGCTTCACGGCTCCTTCACGGCTCCCGACCGCCACAAAGAGCGCGTCAAGGTCAACGAGGCCGGCTGAAGAGAGCAAATGCAAAGTTTAGATTTTTATGTATATTTTATAGGAATGTTTTAGTGACTTGAAGAAACGAAAATTCCAGAGCTGCCTAAGGCAAGCAAACTTCGTAGACATTTACTGAGCGCTTTTGAGGTGTCTGCCGCCGTGGAAGGGACGAGCTGCTCTTCTGCCTGGCAATTCGCATGATTTTCAGGACCTTGGGGTTTTTTTGTTTGTTTGTTTGTTTGTTTTTAAGATTTTACTTATTTTTTCATGAGAGATCCAGAGAGAAAGAGGCAGAGACCCAGGCAGAGGGAGAAGCAGGCTCCACGCAGGGACCCGATGCAGGACTCGATCCCGGGACCCGGGGTCACGCTCTGGGCCGGAGGCGGGCGCTGAACCGCCGGGCCCCCTGGGCCGCCCGACCTGGGTGTCTCCAGACCTAATGCGCCCGCGATTCTGTAGACTGAGCCTCAGAAGGAGCTTGTCGGACTTGGCCTCGTTATCAACTACGCGTCTGCTGTCTCCTCGCGTCTGCTCAGCCTCATTTGTCCCGCCACCTCCCGCGGCACTTGTGTCACTTCACCGGGTGGCGCGGTCCAGCCCTTTCCATCGTAAAGTGGCGGGGAGGGGACACAGTGACCGTTCTGTGCGAGGTACCCTGGACGCTGCGCACAGATTCTGTCCCTCAGCAAACTTTCATTCTCTCCGTTTCTCCAGTGGACTCGTGGTTCCCGGTTCAGTGGTTCTCAGACCCGAGCGCGTGGGAACACCGTGGACGGCTCGTCCAGCCCAGACGCTGGGGCCGGAGTCCGTGCTGCCACGAAGTCCCCGGGGGCTGTTGCTGCCACCCCGGGCCACGTGTAGTTACCCTTTAGCATCATCTATTTTGATGCTCCTGGTGCCCCTAATTTGGCTGCAGGCCGCCTGGTTTCTGTGGCTACAATCGGACGCTCTAGACTCATCCTGAAGTTTCCCCGGCCCAACCCAGGAATTGGCCTTGGGTCTCCAGGAGCCCTGGGTCTGCCGGTGGCCAACACTCAAAGGCCAAGGTGTGGGCACTGGGTGTGCCCGCTGCTCCGGGGAGACCCCCGCTCCTCCACTTCCTTTGGAGCCCGAGCCAGGGACCGTGCGTGTACGTGCACTATCTACACACACGTTCATACGCGGATTTCTGTGTGCGTCTGTGTGGGCATCCGCGACCTCATGCTCAGGTCTCCGACTCCAGCAACACTACAGGGTTTCTCTCTTCTCCGACAGTGGAACACCGGGTCTCATTCGCTTTAGTGTATTTATTTTTATTTTCAAGACTGTGTTTATTTCTTCATGAGAGACACAGAGCGACAGAGAGAGGCAGAGACACAGGCAGAGGGAGATGCAGGCTCCATGCAGGGAGCCCGACGCGGGACTCGATCCCAGGACCCCGGGGTCACGCCCTGGGCCGAAGGCAGACCCTCAACCACCGAGCCCCCCCCAGGCGCCCCAGCTTTAGTATATTCAAGTTATTTGTTGAGTCTCTGTGTCCGTGATCTGCCTCTCATCACCACCGCGTCCTCTGTCTCACGCCGGTGCCTCTAACCCTCCTGGGCTCTGATGCTTCACACAGGCTGTTCCCGCCATGGGCCCCCCCCCACCCACTTAGGCCCCAACACCCCAGGCTGGGCCCCCCCACTCCTGCGCTGGTGAACACGTTCCCCCTGTTGCTTCTCCAGCCACTCGTCCCGGGCTGCCCTCACACAGGGATCCCCCACGCCAGGGTTCCAGTCCCCACCGATGGGCCCCCTGCCTGTGGGGCCCTCTCCTGCCCCCCCAGCTCTGACCTCCCACTCTGCGCCACTGCCCTGCATGGTCTCCGACTCCCCTCGTGCTCATGCCTGAGCCCCCTCTTCCTCCTGTGGGATCTTTGACTCCAGCCCTCCAGCCTCCCCCCCTTTCCGCCGTGCTTGGGGCGTAGATCTACATGCCAAGCCGCCCCACGGAGAGCCGGGTACCCTCCCTCCTCACTCTGCTCAGCTCTAACCACCTCCCCCACGTGGACACCCGGCCCCAGGCTCTCTCCCCTCCGCTCCCCCCACACCCCCTCTGCGCCTCTGACGCCCTGCGCCGGCCGCCCCTCTGCGTGGCCCCTGCCTTGCTCCAGCCCACCTAACGTGTTAGGGCAGAGCTGCACATTGTACCCGAGAGGAAGCAGGGCAGCAGGGGGCACAGAGGAAAAAAGCAAGCACAGCAAACTCCACGGTGGCGGCGTCTACACTTGGGACCGA